TTGGTTGTCGAGTGTGACGCCGAAGTTCTTGACGGTCCAGGGTGGCGGTAAAAGTTTGACGGTCAGGTCCTGAGTAAGCGAATCTTTTCCGGGAAAGAGAAGTAGTTCAGTCTTGTCGGGGTTGATTTTCAGATGGTGGGCGGACATCCACTGAGAGATGTCAGTTAGACAGGCAGAGATCCGAGCCGCCACCTGGGTGTCCGAGTGAGGGAAAGAGAGAATTAGTTGGGTGTCATCGGCATAGCTGTGGTAAGAGAAGCCATGCGAGTGAATGACAGCGCCAAGAGAGTTGGTGAAAAGCGAAAACAGGAGGGGACCCAGCACGGAACCCTGAGGAACTCCAGTAGTAAGAGGACAAGGTTCCGACACAGATCCTCGCCAGGTTACCCGGTAGGTGCGGCCATCGAGGTAGGACGAGAGAAGGGAGAGAGCAGAGCCTGTGACATCAAGTTCCTGAAGGGAGGAAATAAGGATCTGGTGGTTGACCGTGTCAAATGCAGCAGAGAGGTCCAGAAAGATGAGGACAGAGGAGAGAGAGGCGGCTCTAGCAGTGTGGAGTTGCTCAGAGACAGCAAGGAGAGCAGTCTCTGTAGAGTGGCCTGCCTTGAAACCTGACAGGTGGGGGTCAAGGAGGTTGTTACAGTGGAGATAAGAGGAGAGTTGATTAAAGATAGCACGTTCAAGGGTTTTGGACAAAAAGGGAAGAAGAGAGACCGGTCTGTAGTTGTTTTCTTTAGAAGGGTTGAGGGTGGGTTTCTTCAGGAGAGGGTTGACTCTTGCCTCCTTCAGAGAATTGGGAAAACAGCCAGATGATATATAAGATGATATATAAGGCTCTCCGGATTATAAGGCACACTGCCGTTTGAGAAAATGAAAGGCTTTTAAGTGCGCCTTGGAGTGCGGAAAATGCGTTATATTTACTTTAATACTACAAGAGGGCGCCCCGTTTGACATTGTTTTGCTTGGCGGCACCTTTTGTTGAATAACGACAGGCGGACAAGAGCAGCCGTTTCGAGCGAGAGCCTTATTGTTTTATTAATCTGTTGTGTTTCATTTGTTTGTGCTTCATCAATTCATGTTTCATCATTAATGCTGCATCATAAATATTTTGATATTAATTTACAACTTTTCAAAATGGAAAATTAAAAACATTTTATTTATTTATTGTAAATGACCTCTTGCGGCCCACCTGCAGTACCCACACTTTGTGAATCGCTGAGAATCGTTTAAGGAGACTCACCACTCAGGTTGCTGTTGAGGTACTGAGAGCTGACACAACGTAGTAGTACCGTGTTGTATCTGTGGTTATCTCCCGCAAAGCGAACTGCTCTTCAGTCTGGGCAAACCATGCCGACACTGAGTTTGAGGGTGACAGTGTTCACGGTCATGGTCGAGTCGTGTTTGTGAATACGTCAAGCAAACTAACGTCGGAGTCACCAGTGTGAAAGTTGCATTTAAACACAAAAGGCAATTCCTCAAGTTGAGTACACAAGTGTGTGTCTCGTTTAGTTTTACATGTCAAAACGAATGAAATGACAAAATGGCGCAGCCCTGTAATCTGACAAGAATGGGGCTCGACGTCATCAACCTCAACAGAATATTTAAAGGGACCGCAATCCCGGAACAGTCATACTTACGTGAATAACCCATTACTGATGATTTTAAATGGTAATTTATTATCACACAATGTCATTTAATTATCACGGCAAACAATTACGCTGCACTGAACTGTAATGTAAAGTGGAAATAACAAAACCAGTATGACAAGTCAGTATGACTTGTGAACGAATATCATTCACGTCTTTCTAAAACAGCGGTCACGCAAAATGGAATGAGGTAAGAGTTTCCTCTACTAAACCAATGCAGGTCACATGAAAAAAGGATCCAAAGACTCGTACAAAGACCCAGTCGGGAAATGAACGAATCATTTGTTTCCTCTAGCTACCAGTACTGAGCATATGCAGGTCACGCGAAAAAGGATCCAAAGACTCATGTCTGTTTACTTGACTGAGCCTATGCAACAGTCGGTTGGTTCCGGTGGTCGAATCTGTTTCAGAACAGCACAAGCCGATCTCAGTTGGGTATTTACCGACATGCAATTTCCATTTAACGTTAAATCAGTATCTTCATGACCATGGGTTTGCTGTAAAGGTTTTTTTCTAACTTTATTGAGAATCTGGCACAACACAGCGTCTTAACTAGCGCAGCCTTTTGTGTCGGTGCTTCCATGGTGACGGTCTGAGTGGACAGGACAAAACGAGGACCACAGTGGAAACAAACTTTAGTTTTTATTCCAATAACTGTCTGTAGTTGAATGATCCCTTTACCATTGCTGAATCAATCCATCATCAATCCTAGTGAGACGTATAGAAACACCCAGAGTACAGAGCCCTACAACACTGACAGCAGATTTGTGACCACCTGAAAAAGGAAACAAGCTTTCTAGATATTCTACCACAGTACTCACATTAGGTTGTCGTGGTGGTTAGGGGTTAGAGAAGGTGTGCTGGGAAGCACAAGGTTGGTGGTTCGAGTCCAGGCTGCCACATGTTCCATTGTCAAAATGTCCCTGAGAAAGACACCTAACCCATAATTGCTCTCCAGGCAAAATGTGAAAAAGCCATGGGTTTAAAGTGTAATGTAAGTTGCTTTGGATAAAAGCGTCTGCTAAATGACCTGTAATGTAATTAGGGCTGTTTATCAGCATTAGGATAATTATCAGTCTGTTCAGCTTACTTTAGGTAGTTTCATCACATACATTCACATACGCATGGTTTGATATTTTATGACACTTGTACATTTATTGCATTCGAAAAGCTGTTAAAGGCAAACACGGTGTGTGTGTTTGCGGTGTGTGAACAAGCCTGTTCACCCTTTGAATATACAGCATTCTGTATTAGAATTATTAAAATAACATCCACACCCTCTGCTAACATGTATGTGTGGAATCACTGAAACAGGCTGATTGGAAATACATCCCTGGAAACTGTCCCACCACCCCGAGTATATTTTCTGCATCACCCGATAATCAAACATGCAGTATACGTAAAACTGGTCTAGATTTTCTAAGACAAAACAGAACTAACGTTAATGCTATCGTGTTCTACATGAACTATTCAACGCTCTTAAAAAAGGTAAAAGAGAACAAAAGTCAAATGGAGATCTAAGGAAAGTAGAACTCTTTGGTCAGCAAGGACACGATACATGGCATCTGCCTCTTGCCGCTCCGCCCGGGGGTGGTCTTATACTCCAGCGCCACCTTGTTGTTGACCCGGGTCATGATCTGCATCAGCTCCAGCTGGCCGCTGAAACGCCGCAGCATCTCGCACAGCGACTGCATGAACCACGAGCCATTCTGGGTGTCTCTCCAAGCGTTGAAGCCTGAGGGACAGTTGGCTGCATTAAACTACTCACGGTCAGCCTTCATCTAACGGCTACAACGCAAGTTTACCTGGAGTGGTGGAATAGGCGTACAGGAAGTCTGCTTCCACAGGGATCCTGCTCGGCGTTTGCCCGTCCATGCTGTCACCCTCGGAAAGGGTCCCATCGTCCAGCTTATTCCCCCGCGCCGCCTTTAGAGATGACAAGCACGACATGACACGTGATGGTGTCATGCTAACCCCACATTAACACACACACACATTATATATATATATTTGTGGCTGAGATCAAATATTTGAATGCTGTGAACACAACTTTGTTTACTTCTGCCTCCCACAGGGCTTGTAACTCCAAACGGGGTTTTTTATGGTTTACTTCAACAGCAGCTTTCTTCTTGCCACTGTTCCATAAAGGCCACATTTGTGTAGTTCACGGCTCATAGTTGTCCTGTGGACAGAGTTGCCATGGGACTCCTGGTTGCGTCTGTTTAATTTACATATGAATACATACGCACACAACACTTCCATTTTTATCTGTGAATAATTTAGAAATTCATGTAAACTTTCCCCCGACTTCCAGATGAGGGACTGTTTTGTGTTGGTCCATTACATAAAATCCCAATGAAGTACATTTTAACCTGTGGTTATACCATGGCAAAATGTAGAAAAGGCCAACAGGGGTGAATGCTTACGCAAGGCACTGTGTATATATAATGTATATATACATACAAATGTACATTTCTATTTTCTATTTACTGTATGTGTTTTATTTATTATCTTTATTTGTTTCCCTGTGCTTGAGCAGCTACAATCCCCACATTCCCCCTATGGGGGATCATTAAAGGAATATCAGCAGCATCAGCAGCATCAGCAGCAGCAGCAGCAGCAGCATCAGCAGCAGCAGCGGTGGTTTTTATCGTTCACTCAAACAAACTAACGGCATATCAATTATGACACACAGTGATAATTAGAAATGTTGTTAATTGCAGCAGTAAATTCCTCATTGCAATGCATCGTGGTACATGTAGGCATTCCTCCGTCATTGCAGCCTGCACCGAGGAATGAAGTTGGCTACATGGACCATTATCTCACCTGTATGAATAAGAGTTTGGGTTTCCCCACCAGACTCCTGCAGCCATTTCCATCGACGAACTTCGTCAGCTCATCTAAATTCACAAAGCTGCCGTCGGTGCCGTAAATCCCACCCTCGTCCCCACGACTCAGCAGCACACACACGAACGACCCACTGTTGCTGTGGTCCTGTGTGGACACTGGAGACACACAGAACAGATGTTCTGTTGTTTTAATAGCGCAGATGCTGTATGTTCGTAAATAGATGATTTGTGAGCAGATTGCACAGACATTTGTGAAGCTCATGGGTGCGTTTTGACATCATAGAGAAACCAGTGTCAGGAGCTGACATCTAGAGGTTGCCGCATGTTACTACGGTCACGCTGTTTATTATGTAAATGCAGCAATACACACTTAATACACTTATTTAATCAGTTCAATTAGTTGATAATGTCATTTTAAAAACTGAAAATTGTCCCTAGTCTTAAAGTGGAAATCTTTAATTTTAAAATATTAGTATATAAAGCTCAAGCATAACTAGTTTGCCAATAAAAATGTAATATTTTCTGGGGAAAACTGTAAAAGGCTACATATCTGTACTGCCAGCTTTATTTAGGTCACTGAAGGGAACTTTTTAATATAATTATTTATTCTTTTTATCTTTCTATCTAATGGTTTATTAAATACGCTATGAAGTTACTTTGCCGTGTGATAATATCGTTTGTGTTCATTTATTTTAGATGTACTGAAAATTAAATACATTTCAAAATAGCCAGACGGTTGAGCTTTGTACTTCAACATCGAACAAATCAAGTGAATGAAAAGCTGCACGTTTCCTTTACCGTCCCTCAGCAGGTCCACTATCTGGTCTGCGGTCTGATCGTGGACCAGAGTGACCTTATAACCCAGTTTCGAGAAGGTCTTCTCAAGTTCGGCAGCATCCACATCCGTCCCGTTGCGAGTTTCCAAGCCTGGAGAGACAGGCAGAAAAGCAGAGGTAGAAACGCACAGGCTTCAACACAACATGATGATTTGTTCTGCAGAGCGAACAGAGTCTCTGAAATAACAAAACACAGGTGAAAGAAGGCAGAAACTCATGGTGGTAGGACGACGTTGGGGCTTTTGAGTAGATCCTGGAGTACGCCTATCAGAAGCTTTCTCGTGGCAGACATTATTGATAACATTAACGATGGCTCGGTTCCATTCCAGAGTCCCAGGAACCCGCCACAGTGTGACAGAGATCCATACCAGGATAATGAATGTGAAGTAGCTATATATAAATCTGCCCTTTGTTTATTTTATTATGGTCTATTGAACCTGGGATTTTACTACTGTTCCATGTCCAAATGTCCTAATGAGTTTTTAGAAAAGAATGATCCTATATCTTTTCCTAACCACTTCCCCTCCACCTCCACGGAAGGCGTTGTGGAGGTAAATGACAGATGTGACGGACACAACATAAGGAGTGAGGAAATGTTGTGGGAAAACTATTCAATAGTACCAAGTGAGTCCTATAATACTTAAGTAAAGTAATTGAAAAAGAGGCAAGTTAAGTTGTCAATTCCTTGAGCAGAGAAGGTCCAGCGGTCGTACGGAGTGCAGGCAGTCTGCGTGACAGCAACCAAGCTTGTCGGATCTGTCTCGCTTATCGAAGGCCGGAGCGCAGGGTGGGGGTCGGTATAAAGTAGGATGTGTCATAAATACATCGCTGTACAGTGTGTCGAATTTCAACATGCAGCATTTCTTGATGTATACTTGTAAAGGGAAATCTTGTACCTATTTTAGAACATTATTCAATTTTTTAGAACATAACATAATTATTCATAGTATGTATGCAGTGTCATAACTACATCTCTGATGTTTATAACAAACCAAACCATTTAAAAATCGGTTGAAAATTGAGATTGTTTGATCAGATTCATTTGCGACACTCAATAGAGTTAAATTAAGTCTTTGCAAGGTTTGAAATGTAACCGTACAGTGTCACTTCTTGGTATTTGGCTTGACTCTACGTTCTGTGGCGCATGGAGTAGAGAGGGTGAGCAGGGAACCACAAGGTTGGCGGTTCGACCCATGGCTGCTACCTATGTCAAAGTGTCCCTGAGCAAGACACCTAACCCCTAATTGCTCCCCGGGCTAAAATGTAAAAACCATGGGTTAAAAATGCTAAACAGCTAAATGACCTGTAATGTATTTAACACTGGGAAGATTTACTTTTGACACTTATTCCGAGTTAACTTGTTCACACAACGTTGAGTGTTGATTTAACACTGACAAGATTGGGACAATATAAACACCCGCTTAGAGTTCAAATTGAATCTCATAGAGACAATTTAACTCTCTGAAATCTGCTGTGTACAACTGATGCGGCCGAGTCCTCGCCACAGGGCGGACTTAGAAACATGAAGAAGAAATGTGGATTCGCTGAAGAAATCATGTATTGACGAATGTCTTTTTAGAAAGTTGTATCTTCAACAAAATATTTTTGCACGTGATGATAAAATGACAGGTGTGTGTTTGTGTGCATCAGTGGGTGTAGCTACCTGTTTTGAGGTCGAAATTCTTGATGTTGATGATCACACAGGTTCCCATGCAGGGATAGTCCATCTTGTAGCGGTACTTGTCCTCTCCACTCTGTACATCTCTGTAGAGCTTATCCATTATCCTGCAGGCGTGAACAGTTAGAACATGTGACAAACATTTGGTGAAAGCGGAGACACAAAACATAAAACACACAGTTCAGGGTTCATCAACAAACTCTTAATGCCATACAAAACATTCTATTTGTATTGTTTGAGTACTGAACACTCAGAACTGTAATAATTATGCTGAAATATTGATCTGAATATTTTTCATGAACATTAAACTAATCACATGATCCACTATCTTGTTCTTTTTAGATTTGTGTTTGTCTACTACCTTATATAAAGATTCAATAAGGATTTGAAAACAAGGAGAAAAATAACATTTTACGAAAGCTAGCCAGGTTCGTCCGAGAGAGAAGCCTAGGTGAGGGCGAACTGACATCATGCAGCGCTTGCTTCATGAAATAACGTTTTATCCAGAGTAACCACATATTTCTATATCATTCATATCTATCCCCTTTGATGGGGCAGCAGGAGGCAATCTGGAGAAGTAATTCTTTAAATGCACTGCACGACTTACAGGTAGCTAGGATGATTGACAGGCAGTTGCACAGCATGAGTCCTTCACTAACCTCCTACACTCAGCAAATGTGAACACTCGTTTCTGTCTTGAACACTTATAACAGCTTTACAGATAAACATGTCACTCAATCAGCACATTTATAATCCTGGTATTTATGTCTTCAATTAGTTTTGACAAAGTGAGGAAAGCAGTGTTTAGTCAAGCCAGATTTTGCCTGACACATAACAACAACATCGGTCATACAGCTGTTTCCCGGTACCGTCCAACACACAAATGCTGATTAAATTAAAACAAAAAATCAATGACTAGCTAACGTTATCTTACATCCATTTAGCGTTAAAGTCCAAATATGCCCAACGCTGGTTAAGTTACCTTAACTTACAGGTAAAAACTCTTACTGTATCTAACAAACAGAATCGTATTCAACCTAGTGAACATTTCCTTTTCACGACCTGCTCCAAGATAGGTACCTGTTTTTAGAGACGGTGGTAGAAAAGGCTCTGTGGTGGTGTTATGAAGTCCCAGTTCTGACTATCATTTCAAGGAAATGTCAAGTGTTTTTAAAATACCTGTCTTGAAACTCTCAGTGGCACCGCCCCAGTTTCAGTTGTTCTTTTTCACTTTCAATTACATGTATTTGGTTATTTGAGGTCTTCTATTCATCAGGTTCAGATGTTACTTTTTTTTCAGGTGAACTTTTAGTTTCTTTCAAATAATCCTAATTATTAGACTGCATTTAGCTCCATATGTTTAGACACAACACAGTAAATGTAAAAGAAAGCACAGTATTTGACAAATGTTTATTGCATCTATCAGAGAACACTACAGAAGTCATACAGCCTCAGCGTGGCTCATGTAGCCTCCAAGTATTCCACCTGTGCACGTTCTGTGCTGGCTCTCATTCCACACACGGTTCCTCGGTCGGGTTCTTCTTCCGCCTCCCTCTGGGCTGCTGGTTGCTCCCTTACAGCTGGTGCTCAGCGGTCCTGACCTGTTGGTCTCCAGCAGCAGAGCAGGCAAGCTGGCCGCCCCGTACTGGACGGGAGGAAGCAGAACGTCACTGTGAACGCTTTTTGGAGATATCCGGAAGCATCAGATCACGAGAAAGTAGTTTTTGTCACTAATGTGTAAATACCGTCTCTTATTCTTTGGGCCGCTTGCGTCGGTGGTCCAGGTAAAGTCGGTTGAGCTCTCTGAAGTCCAGCAGAAAGGCTTGGCCTCGTCTCAGGTCGGCCAACTGGACTTTAAGCTCAGCTTTCTCCTTCTGCAGCAGCCACGCCGCCCACTCTGCCCTAACCAATCACACGTGTGCAAAAAGACATGGTGAGGATGTTGAAGTAAGTTGGGGAACGTTGCTCAATAGTGCATCTAATAGGCACCAATGTGGAGGTTTTAATGGCTATACATTACAGTTGGGAGAGGTAATGCATAAACAAGTTCAATAATTAACAACAACAATTATTTTATTGCACGTCAAGCAGTTTTTTTTATTGTTGTTAATGATGCTTACTGCCTCTGAATACATATACAGACAAAACATATTTCACAGGAGGGGGGATGTTGATGCATATGGGATTGGGAGGGCGTTATCACTCAACCAACGAGAGCATTTGGAGACGGGTCCAACATTTGAAAAAAGGCCGTTTTGTTTAAAGACGGTGGACCTCTTACAGTGACGTGATAGAAACCCGGTGTGTGTGTGTGTGTGTATTATTATAGCATGCCCGTCTCATCAGCTCGCGTTTGGCATCCAGTAGTCTCCGTTTCATTCTTTGCGTGGATGGAAGAAGCCACCTGACACACACAGAAACAAACCCCGACAGACACGAAAGTAGAGGTCAGTGCCACGAGGCGGCCTGGATTATGTGACATGACTTAAGCCTAGTTTATCCTTCTGCGTTTTCAGAGCGACGCAGACGCAAGACCCCCTTGCGTGCCTTTTCACACCTCATTGCGTGCGTCGACCCATTTTTCTACCGCAGCGCACAAGGCTGCGATTGGTCTGCTAACTACATCCTTTACGGAGTCTCACATTTCCACTTTCATAGCCCGATAGCGCCATTATTAAAACGAAGAATGTTTACGAGAGAACTGATCAGATTGAATAACTTTTGTCGGAAGAAATGCGTAAATATGACCACTTCTACAAGCCGTCAGTGGCGGACTATAAGGACGCGCGGATGGCCTCTGATTCACGGAGGGAGATCGCCGCAAACGCCGGTTTGCCGGTCGAGAAGTGCACACAAGTTGTGGAGGGAAATATGGGACAAATGTGTCCGCGATGAAACGCAGCAGTGGCGATGCACGGGGCAATAAAGTCTATGATAGATAAACAAACAAACCAACGACTTCCACACACAAAGTTGTCACTCTTTAGGTTGTATTCGACAAAAACGTGTTTCTCCACCTGTTGTGCTGGCGGTGAATTGCTCTGCAACACACGCAAGACTTAGAACCATGAATTGAAACAAGTGCGTCGACAAAACGACGCAGACGCATGCGCCAGCCTTTAAGGGGCTCTGTGAGGCGTCCTTGTGCACACGTGTCAGCTCACAGTGGGGCTTTGAGCGTCGACATGCTGGTGTTTGGCAGCCAGTGCGTGAAATACAGGTTTGGCAAGGCCATCAGAGACCCCGAACGACTGTACTCAGAGAGGCTCCAACAGCCTGTCAGAATTTCATACATGAGCCAACTTCCTTTAAAAGGTCATTCACGAGCCAACTTCTGTTGAATTTCAACTATGAACCTTTTAAAAGGAAATGGTGCATAGTTATTCCACTTCAGGTAGATAGAGATCATTTCTGTCAAAAAGTCATACATGAGCCAACATCCTGTAAAATGTCGGTCACAAGCCAACTTCTGTTCAATTTCAGATGGCATTTGTTGGAAAAACTGCAATAATGTTACACGTTAGTACAACAGAAAGTCTGTGCTCTTTTACTCAGAGGTACATTATGTTCTGGGTCATCTGATAATCAAGATGTTTAGAATCTTGTGGTGCCAAAGATGATTGTCTACATTAGGGCTGCAACTAACGATTATTTTGATAATCGATTAATCGGTCGATTATTTCTTCGATTAATCAATGAATCGGATTTTAAAAAGCTTTAATTTCCAACCCTTTTTTTTAAAACAAAACCTCAAATTCATCAGAACTAGTTCTCTATACTACACTCACGAACACACCCTCATGTTCACTTGAAGCATATTCATTAAATTATTACCATCATTGTAGTGCAAGTTAAGTAAATGCATTCAGCTAAAAAACAACCAAGTGCTATGAGATGAATTTAAAATGGCATTTGTAAATAAATGAGACCGAGACGGTGGATCAAGATGGAGAGAGCTTTTTGCATATGAAGTTGTTGGGGGAGAATTGTTGAGCCTGCATAGGGTGAAGCTCTCAGGAATGTGACCGTTGATGTGAGCCGGTGACTTAAGGCAGTCCAGGCTGTCTGTGCTTATGACTTGTGCTGATGATTTCTGTATGTCTCACATGGGCTAAATCCACAAATTTCTGCCACAGAAGTCAAACAAGCAGCAGCGTGACATACAGTGGAGAACTGTGCAGAGGAATTCCTCCAAGTGTCAAACAGAAGGGCGATGAGTGGCAAACGGACCACTTCACACACTGACAGTGCCTGGAACATGGTGGTAGCTGCTAGGCTACTTCCATCTCAATATCTACCTGCAGAGGACCACCACTGTGTCCCTAAAAGAAAGTGGTTTGAAAACATCCAGGCTAAATGTTGGGAGATGTTGGCACTTCAAACACAGCCGTTAAATGATGGCGAGTTGAGAGCAGAGTCCACGATGACAGCACACTGTCACACTCATTCTCGTTCACTTCTCAGATTCAGTTTCTACAATAAAAACAAAGTTTTAAATGGCTATTAATGTAAATGAATTCATTTCAAAATTTGAGATTAGTTTTTTTTAATCTATTGACAGTGTAAGAATACGTGTTCAGGCCTAATATATGTATAAACATTGTGGCAACCCACGGCGCAGCACTCTGGACAGCGCCTCAAGAGAGCAGCACAAAGAGCAGGGGCACCAACGAGCAAGAGGTCAGGTGACCAAAAGGGGAAACACCCCGCCCCCTCAGGCGACAACGAGCGGCCCAGGTGCAGCTCATAAGGCTGATGAAGGTTGGCCACACTATAAAAGAGCCTGGTTCCTTTGGGACCGTGGTCCTGACACCTACTGTGGGCCTGCCTGCCTGCCTGCCTGCCTGCCTGCCTGCCTGCCTGCCTGCCTGCCTGCCTGCCTGCCTGCCTGCCTGCCTGCCTGCCTGCCTGCCTGCCTGCCTGCCTGCCTGCCTGCCTGCCTGCTGTCACCGCTGTCATCATCATCATTATTATTTTTAGATATTAATCATATTACTGTATTCGTAAACCAACATTACCCTCTCCTAAAGTCTCTCTGCTCTCCCTCCCCACAGGCTTCTGTGGATGGTGGTTCTATCTGATGGTGGTTGCCCCTGCAGTGGTCCTGCTGTGCGCCTGGCTTACTACTCACAATTACTTGAATCATTTCTGTCATAGGAATTGCATGTATTATACATTGTTCTTTCTGTACACATGGCATCCATTGTAATCTGTCCATCCCGGGAGTGGGATCCCTCCTCTGACGTTCTCCCTAAGGTTTCTTCCCTTTTTTCCCTCTTGGAAGGGTTTTTTTCATTTTTTGGGGAGTTTTTCCTGTGCCGATGGTGGGTTTCGATTATTACTGGCGGCACTGTGGCGTGGTGGTTAGCACTGTCGCCTCACAGCAAGAAGGTCCTGGGTTCGATTCCCCCCAGTGGCCTTTCTGTGTGGAGTCTGTATGTTCGCCCCGTGTCTGCGTGGGTTCTCTCCGGGTTCTCCGGCTTCCTCCCACAGTCCAAAGACATGCTCTGGGGATCAGGTTAATTGGGGACTTTAAATTGCCCGTAGATGTGTGAATGGTTGTATGTCTCTGTGTAGCCCTGCGATTGGCTGGCGACCAATCCAGGTTGTACCCTGTCTATCGCCCAAAGTTGGCTGGGATGGACTCCAGCCCCCCCCGCGACCCTGTGTGCAGGATAAGCGGTTTGACAATGGATGGATGGATGGGGAGTTTTTCCTGTACCGATGGTGGTACAGGACAGAGGATGTTGTATATGTACGGACTGTAAAGCCCTCTGAGGCAAATTTGTAAGTTGCGATAATGGGCTATACAAAATAAATTGAATTGATTAAAAAGATCAACCAGTCCAACAGCCAGCAGACAAGACGTGAGTAGAAGCTGGCTTCACGCTGGGGTTTGTTTGAATGAGTGTTAAAGCCCGTTTTTTTGTGCTTCCTGCAGGAAGGAGACTGAAGGCCGAACAAACCCGCTGAACCGCACCCTCAAAAGAGGAACCTAATTTTCCCTTTTTCGTTACTTTGTACGTTACAATAAATTGTACCCGTTTCTTGTTCAAAGAGACGTGTATCTGAGTCCGGTGATTCCACCCACACCTGTTGGTTGCCACAACATGCTTATATGTATAAACAATTATATAGACCAGTGGACCAGTGAGGCTGAGGAGAACCTCAAGGCGTGACTGGACCGTACGGACTGCGATATTTTCAGG